GCGGGCCGGGCGGGGAGCACCCGCTCCCGGGCTCGCGGCGCCGGACCCCGCTTCTCGCCAACTCCCCGCTGCTGGTTTCCGGCTTCCCCTCGGGTGCCAGCGATTTCCTTTAGTTTTTGAAATGACACTCCCCTGTGAGCGATTTTCCCCCTCCCGCTTATAGTAAGAGCTCTCAGGCTTACTGTATGAGAAAGTGTAACCACGGTTCTCAACCTGTGGGTCGCGACCCCTTTGGGGGTCGAACGACCCTTTCACAGGGGTCGCCTAAGACCAGCCTGCATATCAGATATTTACATGACGATTCAGAACAGTAGCAACATTACAGTTATGAAGTAGCAACGAAAATAATCTTATGGTTGGGTCACAACATGAGGAACTGTATTTAAAGGGCCAGAAGGTTGAGAACCACAATAAAAATGAATCCGTGGTGGCATCACAGAGGGTAAGGCCAATTTTGGGGGTGTCTGGGGAGGGAGTCGCCAGCTCACTTAAGAGGAGGTCTGAAGGTTTTATCATTCTGGGGACTCCCTTCGAGAAAGAGTGCAAAGTTAGTTAGAAAAGTGAACAACTCTGCAGGATGAGAGAATAAATCACAAGAAATTACCAACGGAATGGAGCTGACAAACAGAATCTTCTGCATAATTTGCGGGGTCCCGTGCTGAAACATGGGGTCCCCGGGGGGAAAGCATGGGGAAATGCTGTTAAAGAGACTAAAATATAAGCTTTCCCCTGTCTTGCGGTCTCTCCCAACTTGGGGTGTTTCCTGTTTGCTATTTACTGCCATTCATTCTAAGTAAAGAAAAACTATCTAAATTGTGATGGTGAATTTTACCGTTTGTCTGTATGTCGGGCAACGTCAGTCTCGAATGCAAGGATCAGAGCATTCACCACGGATGCGGGATCCCTGAGAGCACACACTCCGTACGGCCTGGCTTGTCCTTGGACGTTCGCGGACCCGGCTGGAAGAGATGGACACAGGACAGATGCCCAAAGGCCAGAAGAAGAGGGGCCCCCCAGGTGCAGTGCAGGCCAAGGGAGCACACCGTTGGGCGTGGGGATCCCGGGTGTGCCAGCGCTGTTGCTCCAGGGAGCCCGGGCCCGCCGTGGACTTGGGAGGAGTATGCACGGGGCCTGGTAGCTGCTGTTCCCTCTCCCTCCAGCTGGCCTTGCTGGGGCGAGGCATCTCCTCTGTCCACACCACCATCTCAACCCTGGCAGCGGGCACCCTCAAAGGTATGACAGACTCGGTGCCAGGATGTCCCTGGATCAGGGATGGGTGAGAGTCTTTACCACCCAACAGTGGGTGGCCACTGCCATGCCCTGCTCATATAGGCCACAGGGCACACACGGTCAACCAGACCCCTGCCACACCTACACCCAGGCCCCCACCTCAGTGGAAGGTGGCAGTGGTCACTGGGCAGGAGCAGAGAGATGGAGGCCGGGTTGCCAGGGAGACAGGAGAGAAGATAGCCAAGAACCCATCCTGATGAGGTGAGAAGGCGGCAACAGTGGAACCACGCAGGGGCCACGGCTTTGTGACCCACTCTATTGTCTCACTGGACGTCACATGCAAAACACAAATTCAAAAATAAAACTATTAAGAATTTGAAGCCTAACCGGTTTGGCTCAGTGGATAGAGCGTCGGCCTGTGGACTCAAGGGTCCCAGGTTCGATTCCGGTCAAGGGCATGTACCTGGGTTGCGGGCATATCCCCAGTGGGGAGTGTGCAGGAGGCAGCTGATCAATGTTTCTCTCTCATCGATGTTTCTGACTCTCTATCCCTCTCCCTTCCTCTCTGTAAAAAACCAATAAAATATATTTTTAAAAAAGAATTTGAAGACGGTGACCCTGGAGCATTAAGCCCTGAGTGTGGGGCCCTCTGTCCCTGAGAAAGTGGTCACTTACCATGAAGCCAGACCCGCTGACAGATGCCACAAACAGCACAGAAGCCAGAAAATAACACAATACTTTTGTTTTTAAACACTGATATCATTTATTTAAAATACTAGAGACCTGGTGCACGAAATCCATGCACGGGTAGGGTCCCTAGGCCTGGCCAGTGATCAGGGCTGATCTGTGGGGCAACTGGCAGGGAGATGGGCACCCCCCACCCCTTGGCTGGCCTGAGGCCTGTGGCCTGGGGGCAGCTCCTGCATTGAGCGTCTGCCCCCTGGTGGTCAGTATGTATCATAGCAACCAGTTGCCCCCCCCATTCTACTGTTTGGTCAATTTGCATAATTAGGCTTTTATTATATGGGATTTACTCCAAGAAATATACATATTAAGAAAACAAGGTAATTACAGCACTAAACCAGGCACCTTCGCCAAAATCACAGCCTCTTCTTAGAGTCCCCTTCACTCTAAGCCTCTTCCAAATTCTCCGTCGTGGGCAGAAGACATAGCAAGCGCCCCGAGGGTCATTGCCAAGCACGCTCGGCGTGGGGCACCTTGTCCCTCTGTGTTGGAGTGCAGGCCCGTCCTTGTTCTACAGGGGTTTCCCCATCAGCAAGTTCATTTTAAACCTCTAAGCCAGGGGTGGGCAAACTTTTTGACTCGAGGGCCACAATGGGTTCTTAAACTGGACCGGAGGGCCGGAACAAAAGCATGGATGGAGTGTTTGTGTGAACTAATATAAATTCAAAGTAAA